CCACGCCCAGGATCCAAACCGGCAAAACTCTGGGCTGCCGAAGTGGAGCGTGGGAACTTAACCACTTGGCCATGAAACTGGCCCCCAAACCTAGGTATTTTATTCTTTTCGATGCAGTTGTAAAAAAGCTTGTTTTCTTAATTTCTCTTTGATAGTTCATTGTTGATGTATAGAAATGCAACTGATTTTCATATGTTGATTTTGTATCCTCCAACTTTATTGAATTAATTTATTAGTTCTAAGTTTTTGGGGGAGTCTGTAGAGTTTTCTATATCTAATACCATGTTACCTGCAAATAGAGACGGTTTTACTGATTCCTTTTTATTTCTTGCTACTGCCTAATTGTTCTGGCTAGGACTTCCAGTACTGTATGGACTAAAAGTGGTGAAAGTAGGCATCCTTGTCTTATTCTTGATCTTAGAGGAAAAGCTTTTAGCTTTTCACCCTTGAGTATGTTGTTAGCCGTGGGCTTGTCATATATAGACTTGCCTGATTTCTGATGAGAAGTCAGTCTGCTGTCATTTTTATCTTTGTTTTTCTCTATGTAATGTATCTTTTTTTCCCTCTAGCTGCTTTTTAAGTTTTGTCTTTTTATCACTGTTTTTCATTAATTGGATTGTGATGTGCCTTGGCATGGTTTTCTTAATGTTTTCCTGCTTGGGATTCATTGACCTTAGATCTGTGGGTGTATAGTTTTCATAAATTTGGAAATTTTGCATCCACTGTTTCTTCAAATATTTTTTTCTGTCCTTTCTTGATTTTTTTCTGGAACACTAATTACATGTTAGACCACTTAATATTGTCCCACAGTTCACTGACTTTTTTTTCTGTCTTTTTTCCTCAGTGTGTTTTGTTTTAGATAATTTTTATGATCGTGTCTTCACATTCACTGATCTTTACTTCCTAAGTCTGTAATCAGCTGTTAAACCCATCCAGGATACATTTCTTTTCTAGAAGTTCCATTTTAGTCTTATTTTTTTCCATTTCCCTCATTATGTTTCCTTTTATATCCTTGAGTATATTGACAATATTTGTAATAAATGGTTTAAGGTTCTACTAATTCCATTGTCTTTGTTATTTCTGGAACTGTTTCTATTGATTGGTTTATCTCCTGATTATGTGTCATATTTTCCTGCTTCTTTGCATGCCTGGTAATTTTTGATTGGATGCAGACATTGTAAATTTTGTGTTGTTGGATGCTAGATTTTTGTTCTGGTGTAGAATTAGGTAACTTGGAGATCAGTTTGATCCTTTAGAAGCTTGTTTTTAAGCTTTTTTATGCCTGGTCCAGCGTCCTTATTCTGGGGCTAACTCAGTCCCACCACTAAGGCCTGTCCGGTCTCTTCAGAAGACTGTACCCAATGCCCGCATTATTGTGAAGTCTCTCCACTCTGGCTGGGGCCTTGTGTGAGCTCTGGGAATTATTTGGATTCATTGGAAAAATCTAGTGATTTTTTTTTTTCCCCCTGGCCTCAGGTTTTTCTCACACATGCACAGATTGGTACTCAGCCAAAGATTTGAAAGGACACCTTCGTAGATCTCTGGAGTTCTCTCTCTGTGCAGCTTTACCCTCGCTGGTACTCTGCCCACGAATTATAGCCACCTCAGCTTCCAGGAACTCCACCTCTGTCTCCTCAGCTCGGCAAGACCGCCAGGCTTGGTTTCACTCCCCACTCCCTGCATTGCAGCTTGGAAACTGCCTCCAGGCAGTAAACTGAAGCCATTTGTTTCTCTTCTCTCAGGGATAATAGTCCTGTGCTTCCTGTTGTCCAGTGCCCAAAATGGTTACTTCATATATTTTTTCAAGTTCTCTGATTGGTTACGGTGGGAAGTCAGTTCCTATAGTAGTTAATTCTTCATGGGCAGAAATGGGATGTTATGAATACTAATTTTTAGACATTTAGAGGTAGAGTCAATATTTAGATGCTTTTTAGGTGTTACCTAAACAATTCTTTCTCAAGTGCCTAAAAGTATCTCATTTCTCATTCATTATGGATTTAAAAAAAAAATTATAATCTCTCTTCATGAATATTCTCTCTAGTCTGATCTTTGCTTAAGAATTTTCCCCCAACTGGACCGTGTTATTTGGAGGGTCATGGTTATAGGCTTTTGTTTGTTTACACAAAATACTTGCCCTAGTAATAATCTCTTTTGTTGACTATTTTTAAGTTAATCTTGAGTAGGAGGACAGGGGTAAAATTGGGGAACAATTTCTTATAGAGATTTTGGTAGAAAATATAAGCGTAAAAAATAATACGAAATTATTTCTTGGTGACCAATAACCATTGCCCTTTGCCTTTTTCACTTATATCTTGGAGAGCTTTTTTCAAAAATAATCTTTTTATTTTGGAATAATTTTAGATTTACAGAAAAGTTGCAAAAATAAAAATAGTACAAAGAACACGCATATATCCTATACCCAGATTCAACTATTGTTAACATTTTATCCCATTTTTTAATCATTTGTGCTATTTTCTCTATCTATCTATGCAATTCTATTTCTGAATCATTGAGGGTAAGTTACATCTATCATGTCCCATTACCCCTAAATATTTTAGTGTGTATTTTCTAAGACTGGTATATTCTCTTGTATAACTGCAATTTAGTTATTAACTTCTCATTTTTCTAAGAGCTGCACAGTAAAAATATGTCACAGTTTACCTAGCTAGTTCTCTATTGATGGGGTTTTGTGTTGGGGGATAAAAGGCAGATAGAAGACAGCTAGGTAATGAAAAAACAGGGCTAGAAACAGTCTAAATGTCTCTCAACAGGAAAATGGATAAGATGTGAAGTCAGACAGTGACATTTTCAAACAGCTTTGAAACTGAATGAATTATGAGCAACAAGCTGCATGAATGAATCTAAGAAACATTCTGTTGAGTGTAAAAGGCAAGACTGAGAAAACTACATACAGCATACCATTTTTGTTAAGCTCAGAAAGAAGCTAACCTAAAGATGTTTATTTACATATATTTATGTGTATAATAAAATTTTTTTAAAAAGCAGGATTGTGATGAGCACAGTCTAGGATACTAGCTACTTCTGGGGGAGGAGGAAGGGGAGGGCTGGGGAAGTAGTGCACTGGTAGAGGCCCCGGTACTGGTAGTGTTCCAGTTCCTGAGTCCGGGAGTGGGTTCATGGGCGCTCATTTTATTATCAGGCTTTATAGTTTACAGATACATTACATGTATTCTTTTGTATGTTTCAAGATTTTAAAGGCAGCTGGAGGATGTAGTCTAAATAGAATTTATGAAACAGAGGAGTAAAAGGCAATATGTGTTGCTTGGGTTTGTTTGTGTATGTCTTGCATCCCCAACTACTCTTTGGGAGCTGGGACCATATTTAATGCTTATGTTTTATTATCCATAAGACCTAATGTAATTCTGTATACATGGTAAGGACTCAGTCTGTGTTTATTGAGTAAGTGATTTGAAATAGCTAAAACACAGAATAAGTTTAAATACTTTGTTTTCAGGAAATTTCAAATTGATCTGTTGGGGAGTTTTTTCTACATAAGAGGGAAAATTCCAGACTGCTTCTCATGTACTTATTACATAATATACCAGGAGGCCATTAAATAGTGGCATTTGGCTGAAAAAATAAAAAAGCATTCTATGAATATTTTAGTGATAAATGTGTAAGGAATATAACTTCTGCTTATAAGCAAGGACATTTAAAAAGGGGAGTTATGGGTGTGTCAGTATCACTCATGAAAACCAGTGTGTGAAATAAATAATCTTATCAGTTAACTTGTACTGTTCAGCAATATACTGAAACCAATAGTGAATTATACCAGACAGAACCTGTATGTGAGGCTACATTAATGATACTTCTTTTAGGAGAGTCGTACCTTGTATTTGGGAAGTGAAGCAGTGATTTCATGTGGATTATCTGTGATTCAGTTTGATCCTGGCCCAGCACCCGCAGCACCCTGCATGCTCAGCCCAGGCCTCCCCTCACCTCTGCTTCCCAGAACTAGGTTTTAGGTTAGCCTCAAGAAAGCCGAATGATGGCAAAGGTCAGTCTGCTGCAAAAACAATCACGTAACTCTTCCAGAATCAAGTAGAAATTATTTGGGGTTATCTACTTTTCTGGATACCAGCTTTTTTTTTTTTTTTAAAGATTGGCACCTGGGCTAACAACTGTTGCCAATCTTTTTTTTTTTTCTGCTTTATCTCCCCAAACCCCCCTGTACACAGTTGTATATCTTAGTTGCAGGTCCTTCTAGTTGTGGGATGTGGGACGCTGCCTCAACGTGGCCTGACGAGTGGTGCCATGTCCGTGCCCAGGATCCGAACCCTGGGCCGCCGCAGCGGAGCGCGTGAACTTAACCACTCGGCCACGGAGCCGGCCCCTGGATACCAGCTTTTATTCTTCTTTGGTACAGATACGTGAAATTTGAACATAGCTATGCAACAATCAGCAGACTGTTTGGAGAACAGACACATCTTAAGAAAGAGGACGCCAGTACGTTTTTCCCAGCTCTGATGCTGGGGCCAAAACAAATTACTGTCTCCTGTTCAGTTGGCAAGGTCTCATTGGTCATCAATTCATAAATTTGTTTTTGTTCATAAGGTTTGTCCTTGTGCAAGTCGACAGCATGTTTTTAAAATGTCTCATCCACAGGACCAAGACCATATTTCACATATGGTGTTCACCACAAATTTCAGAAGACTAGAGTTTGAACATAAAAAAGTATTTTTAGTTACTACATGGTAGATTTACGACCATTAAGGTATTTCTAGTAGACTGAAAACGTGAGGTGAACTGTTTTGTGAATCTTATGTATTACTACATGTGGAATTCATCTTATCCTCCTCCATAAATAATATATTCCAGTGCTGTGTCATTACTTCTGACATTGCTTTTATTCCTTATTAATTTTCCTTTGTAATAGAAAGTCTTGGATTAACAGGTGCTTGTCGTATTAGCTTTTTCTCAGCTGAATCTTGGCTTCAAAACAACAATAAGGATAAGTAAGGGTGAGGCAGTGTACTCAATTTTTTTTTTTTTTTAATAGCTAAGCAGGAAGTTCACCTCTGGCAGGGTATTGTAATCAGGTTTATCACAAGAGCCTGCTGTTGTGTAACAGAAACTCTAGCTTGTCCCTACCTGTCTTAAGGCATTGCTTCATGAAGGAAAATAAACTCAGTGGAAATTTGTGAAATTCAATAAAATACTTTCCCAAGCACTCCATTTTTAATGCATGCTAGAACAGTTTATTATAGCCTTGTGGTCTTTTAAAAAACCTATTAACCTTGTGATTTCTTACTGTCGTAATTAAATGAATCTGTATCACTCTAGAAGCCCTGTGTCGTATTTACTGTACCTCTCAGACACATCTTCAGCCACGACTGGTAGTAGTCCACATTCCCTCCCTTCTCCCCCGCTTTCTCAAGAAAGGGGGTGTCTTCAAATGACTGTTTATTTAATTGACAGGCAGCTTTTCTTCATTGTATGCTTTGCTTTTGCTCACAAAAGTGCATTCACTATTCCATAGTATGTTGAAACTTTTAAATGGAAACAGCTTTTCATTAACAAAGGAAGCATTTTCTTCCCTCCTTCCATGTCTTTGCTTTCTCCTCTAAGTCTTGGCTTCTTCAGCAGCTGTACCTCCACCAGAAATGACAAAAGGTGCAATTGTTCTAGGAGATGGCGGTGAAGATAATGCCAGTGGAGTTTTGTGTGTGTGGGCTGCTGGGGACTGTTTTTCTTCTGTGTTTGGTTTGGTTTTGTTTTTGTTATTCCAGAAAGTTGAGCACACCTTAAAACGAAACCAAAAAAAAAAGAAAAAACCTTTAAAGACCCTTAAACCTTTATCCTAGGTGAACTATTTCTTTCCCTTACGTTGTTCTGGTAGTATTTAAGTGGGCCCCTCTGACCCAATAACAACAAATCTGACAAAACTCACTTAAAACATAGGGGAATGGAATACAGAATACAGAGAGTATTGATGTGGTTTGTTTTCTCTTTCTGAGCAGGCCGTGAGATTGAATCTTCCTGCCATTACCCTGACATAAGAGCAAAGCTCAGGAGAGAAGACAGGTGTGCAAATTAGATTTTAGTATTTCCACCCATCTCCTTTTTCTGAGTTGTGAATATCCCAACACCAGTTAGATATCCTTTTCATTTTACTTCCTTCCTTAATTTGAAGATAACCTCCTTTTTCTGCCTCTGCCTCTTCTGCTGCTTTATTTTTGACTCAGTTTCTGGAGTATGGTGCTGGTTCAAAGCATCATTTACTTCTAGCAAAAACCTTTCAGTTCATCTGGTAGAAGAAACTGAAAATCTAGTCTCTTTCAGGGACACCGTCTCTATACGGAATACCAAATAATCAAATCACTAGATACACTTGTCTCTGTTACAGACATAATTCATTCTGCCAGTTCTTACAGACAGTAGGGCTACTTTTCTCTTTTCAGCCTTGATTTTCTTTATTTTTATATATTTTAAACCCACAGACCAATTTCTAAACAGATAATGTGTAACGTAAACATTATTCCACCATGGTCCTTGACACTGTTTCTATATCCTCTCGAGAATTAGTCATTTCGTCATCCCTCACTAGACTCAGCAAGAAAGGATAAAGAGGAAACTGGAAATTCATTCTGTAGTACTTCACAAGTATTTTGAATGTTGATCAACAACATTCTAATCTTCTCTCTGAGTGAGTAAAAAGAAAAGATGTAATGCTAGTCCAGCCTAACCCACTGAGTGGCAGTTTGCCACAATGATTCATTTTGCCTTGGAGCAATCCTACACCTTTGAAACTAGGTCCCTGTTGGTTGAGGGAAGAAAAAGACTCCTCCAGAGCTGTCAGTCACTTATGAAGCACCTCCAAAGAAAGGTCGTACTAGATCAAGTTTTAATACACCCGAAGTCTTCAAACTTTACTCTGGATTTGTTCACCATCTTACTCTGTAGGCCCCATGTAGCTTTGGGGATTGTTTGTGCAATCATTGTTGGAATAATAGTCTGACAGGTTTAAAATCTACCTGAGGGAAATTAGGGCGAGTGTAATGATAACAGGTGTTCTCAGTTTTCCTCACTCCCACTCCTTCCAGAATTATTACTGCCAGACGGCATGAATAGAAACCAGCTGATGTTTTCTTTTGTTCTTGGCCTCCCACATCTTACCCATCGCTGGAATTTGTGGTTGCTCTTTGCTTTTCAAGCTTATGGAGTAAAACCATCTGAGGGTCTCTTCTAGGCTGCAAGAAAAATGAAGATGGGAAGCCACTGCATTTTATGTTTTTGCATAGGAATATCCTGGAGAGCTTGTTTAAACTACAGGTTCTTAGACCCAGTGTGAGAGATTGATTCATTAAGTCTGGTGTGGGATCTAGGAATATGCTCTTTGTGTGTGTGAGAGGAAGATTCCCTCTGAGCTAACTTCTATTGGCAATCTTCCTCTTTTTTTTGTTTTGTTCTGTTTTTTTTTTTTTTGCTTGGGAAAGATTAGCCCTGAGCTAACATCTGTACCAATCTTCTTTTATTTTGTATGTGGGATGCCTAGAACAGCATGGCTGATGAATAGAGTAGGTCCACACTCGGGGTCCAAACCTGGGAACCTGGGGCCGCTGAAGGGGAGCACGTGGAACTTTAACCACTTGGCCACGGGGCTGGCCCCTTAGGAATATGCATTTTTAAGAAGCATCTTGCAAGTGATTCTGATAGGGATGATGCTTTGAGCAGTGCAGACTCGTCTTATCTCTCTGCCTCTGTCTTTCTTTCTGTTGTTATTCCATCTTGTTCTACACAACTCTTGTTCCACAAGAGATTTGAGGTACAGTTAGACAAATTAGCAGATAATCAAAGGGCCAGTATAAAACAAATGTTGTTATACCTTACTAAACATGCAAAGTTTTAATCAGGATTCTGAGCGTCTTCTTATTCTACTTAATACAGCAGGGATTCCACACACCAAATGAAAATACCGTAAAATATCTAGTGGCTTCTATGAGACCCTTCTCTTGGGTGTGTTCTATACATGAATGCACTTTCTAAAAGTCAAAATAAGACTATTCTAACAGTCATTAAATGTTTAATTATTATGTGATAGTTAGCATGTTTTAGCATCTTGTCAAAATTAAAGCCTGATTCCCCTCTCTGGGCTAAGGACAATGGGATAGAAACAAAAATGTTTCACTATGGTCTTAGTCTCTAAAACAATGCTAAGTAATAATGCTCCCAGCCTTCTGCCGAAGGTCAGAGACTTTGCTGAGCCAGCAGTGCGGGCCCCCCGGACTGGCCTGATTTGGTTGGAATGGGAGCAGATGTGTAGGGAAGTTAGTCCATAGCCAAAGCCTGTAGGGACAGTTGGGCCACCACCTCAAGTGATGTGGGAGGCAGAAGGCAGCATTCTGATCCTTTTGATGACGTTGTGTGCAGCAGAGAGAGCATGCAGTGGTGATGTCCAGTTATAACTCTTACCTCATTTGAGGCGCTATGAAGATCCCTTTCAGTCTTACACTAGAACCATTACATGGTAATGAGCCTAATTTCTGGACAGAGAGGCCCTGAGCAAGAGATTTGGCAGGTATTATATTTTCTTTTTGCTGAGTATATTTTGTCTTTTGGGAAAGGCAGACCCATATCTTGGTGTTCCATATTTAATAGTTACAGTTTAATAATTCCATCCTCACCCCAAATGTATGTTTCTATTGCTAAGATCTTTTATATAAGATAAAGGTAGATATTAGCAAGTAGTATAGATTTTAGATGGTTGTAGATTTTATATATGTTGGATTTTTTTAATCTGCAGCTTTATTATTATGACCTCTAAGATGACCTTCTAATTATGACCTCTCTAATATGTTGGGAATTTTTTCTTTAGGCAGATGTTAATTAGGTTCCTTTTTTATACTTTTTAAAAATTGTGGCAAAACACGCGCAATATCAAATTTACCATTGAAACTATTTTTAAGTGTGCAGTTCAGTGGGATTAAGTACATTCACATTGTGCATCCATCCCCACCATCCATCAGACCTTTTTCATCATCCCAAACTGAAACTCTGTGCCCATTAAACACTGACATCCCATGACCCCTCCTCCCCGCCCTGAGGGCCACCGTTCTGCTTTCTGTTTCTATGGCTATTCTTGTACCTCATCCAAGTGGAATCATACAACATTTGTCCTTTTGTGTCCAGCATATTTCATCTAGCATAATATCTTTAAGGTTTATTCATGTTGTAGCATAGGTCAGAATTTCATTCCATTTTAAGCCTCAGTAATAGTCCATTGTATGGATAGACCACATTTTGTTTATCCATTCCTGCATGGACATTTGGGTCGTTTGCACCTTTTTGCTATTGTGAATAATGCTGCTGTGAACATTGGTGTACAAATATCTGTTAGAGTTGCTGCTTTAACTTCTTTTGGGCATATACCCAGGAGTGCAATTTCTGGATCATATGGTAAGTCTATGTTTAATTTCTCGGACCATTGTAATATGTTTTTGAATGTTTTTTTTTTTCTTACGAAAGTAATATATTCAGAATGATTAAAGGGAATGTAGAATATAATGAAATGTATGAAGAAGGGAATAAAAATCATCCACAATCCAATTTCTAATGGATGGCATTAACATCTGGTATTTTTGATTGTCTTATTTAATGTACATAACATATTTGCAAAATTAGGATTGAAGAATATGTACAAATTTGTCTCCTTTTTTTTTTTTTTTTAAAGATTGGCACCTGAGCTAACAACTGTTACCAATTCTTCTTTTTTTTTTTTTTCTGCTTTTTCTCCCCAAATCCCACCGGTACATAGTTGTATATTTTAGTTGTGGGTCCTTCTAGTTGTGGCATGTGGCATGCCGCCTCAGGACGGCCTGATGAGCGGTGCCATGTCCACGCCCAGGATCTGAACCAGGAAACACTGGGCCGCCGAAGCACAGCACATGAACTTAACCACTTGGCCATGGGGCCAGCCCCTCTCCTGCATTTTTAAACTCAAAGTTGTGCTATGAATATTTTCCTAAGTTATGGAACAGCCTATGAAAACACTTTTTAATAGCTGCTTAATATGTATGCATGTACTATACAGCTAACATAGATGTCCAGTAATAAGGAAATGATGGATTCATAGAGGGGAATATTTTCCAGTCACTCAGAATGGTATTGTTATAGGCTATCTGTTGACATTAGAAAATATTCACAAAATATAATATTAGGTGAAAATGCAGGAGACGAAACTATATATATCTAATTCACCTTGTACAGAGGTTTTCAGGAACTTAGCCTAAGAGCCATGTAAACTATTAGAGATTTTAGTGGGAGAGTGACGTATCAGATTTGCTTTTTAAAATACCACTCTTGCTGCTAGCTTCAAAGAGGCAAAAGCAGATATGCGGATATCAGTTAGGAGGCTGGTAGCCCAGATCTGGGGTGATGGAGGCTTAGAGCAGGGAAATAGTAGTGGAAGTAGTGAGAGGTAGCAGCAGTCAATACACAGTTTTGAGGTGGAGTCAACAGTCTGTGTGGATGTGGTGTGTGAGCAAAGGGAGGTATCAGGGATGATTCCTCAATGTTCGGCTGTGGTGACTGGGTAAGGAACACTGATGGAGGGTACAATTTGGAGGTGTGGAAGATGAAGTCAGTTTGGAATATGTAAGTTTGACGTAGTGGAGAGAGATCCAAGCAGAGATGTCAGAGAGGCTGTTGGATTTAAATCCCAGTGTTATAAAAATGGATCTGCCTGTCCACCAAGAGCCTAACAGTGGCTTTCTCTAAGTTGTGAGCAATTTTTATTGTCTTTACTATAGTATATTTCATAAATTTTCTATAATGATCGTGTATTATTTTTATAATCAAATTTAAATATTGCTTAAATATATTCATCATGGCATTATTTATACTAGTATAAAATTGGAGACAACTTAAGTTTATAACAATGATAGAAGACTGGTAAGAAAATAAGTAAAATGATATTGAAACCCTGTAGCCACCATTTAAAAAACGTCTTCAATATTATGCAAAAGAAAAAGTCAGTCTGTTTAAAAATAAATGAAGTTTTAAAAAGTAAAACCTACCATACTGAATCGAGACTTGGAGAATCTATAATGTTTTGTCAACTCTAATATAGTTATGTAGATTTGCGTTATTAATAGTTATTTTATTCTGAGTTCGTATGTGAAAGAATGGTGGCCTTTTTGTCACCAGATATTTAGTTTGACATACCCACTTTTAGTGTGGACATTTTGAAAATACATTAAATCTTTTTTAGCTCACCGGATTCCTTTTGATTAATGACCTTACAATTGCTTGTTAGGAATTCGTATCTATTAAATTGGCTTTTTGAGATTACTATTTTTCTAAGGGGAACTTTACTGCTCTAGTGTTTTGTTTGCAGATAAAAGTACCTAAGTACATCTCCTACCTGCATTTTTTTAAAGGATTAGGGTTGCCTTAAATCTTGTCGGTCATGTTAAAATTGTCTTAACTTGAAAAGATGCTTCAAATTCTGTACAAAGTGAAGCAGATGTCTAAATGAGTTAATTTTATAAAGAAAAAAGACAGTTTCCTCCCAAAGGTCACGGAAAATTTGTTTTCTTTTTTTCTCTTTTAAATTTACAGGTTAGAATTTACAGATTAAAGTACTATATGAATAGTGTTTTAGTGTACAAATAGAATTACTCTATCTTAACATTTAAAAAAGACTTAAAAAGGTTATATTGTTACTTTGGATTGACAGAATTATATTCTTCAGCTATGGATTAATCTTATGTTAATAATATAGCATAAACTGAAGGCCTTTTTCTCCTAGTAAAACTCAAGAGTTTAGATATTGAAGTAGTGGTATGAAAATATACTACAGTAGTCTCCCTTTATCCAAGGGGGATATGTTCCAAAACCCCTATTAAGTGCCTGAAACCATGGGTAGGACTGAAACCATGTTTTTCCTATACATACATTCAGAACAGCATGGATACACTAGGCAAAGAGATGATTCTCCCAGGTGGGATGGAGCAGGTTGGCATGAGATTTTATCACGCTACTCAGAATGGCATGCAATTTAAAACTTAGGAATTGTTTATTTCTGGAATTTTTTCATTTAGTATTTTCCGACCTCGGTTGACCACAGGTAACTGAAACCGCAGAAAGTGAAACCGCGTATAAGGGGGGACTATTATACAAAGAAGATTATAGCTTTACAATCAAAAATAAAGTCAAGCATAATTATAAGTTGTAGAAATTGACAGTATGATTGTTTTCTGTAAGCATACCACTGTACCATTGTAAAGCATTTCCTTGTGCTTTATAATTGCGTGTGAGCTGAATTTAACAAAGTAAAATTCAACAGAAATATTCATTCCTTCAGTTGGCTCCCAAACACATTCATACATTTAGAAGATGGGCAAGACATGATGACTGAGCAGTGTTCTCAAAACCAGCTGGGGGTTTAATTGACTTTAAACTCAAATTGGGAAAGAGGTTTTCACTGAGAGTATGGAAGAACTTTTTAATGATTAGACCTGTTAAAAATGAAACAGCCTACCTTCGGGGAGGATATTGAGTTCCCATCACTGGAGACTTACAAGAAGAGCCAAACCTGGGCCTGCTCGGGGTCTGGTGAAGTTGGACCATATACTTCTAAAGGTCTTTCCAACTCTGAATTTGCCAACTAGACTGTGTCTCCTGCAAAATGATGTGTGAAGCAGTTCTGTTATACAAAATAGTTTGGTTAACTGGTGTTTTTCTTTTCTTGCCACTTTTTTATTTTTACTTTTTATTGAGGTAAACTAGACATACAGAAAAGTAAACATATCACAAATGTGATGACTTTTCACAACCTGAATCCATGCCGAAATTGAAAAACAACATTACTAGCACCCCAGAAGCTCCACCCTTGTGCTCACATCTAGTCCTTACCTCCCCCTACCCCAAGAGTAACCATTCTCCTGACTTCTAACGGTATGAAGCTTGGTGCTGAGTTGCCGAGTTTTGTACTTTATGTATATGGACTCATTCTCTTTTGCATCTGGCTTCTTTATGTCAACATTATGTTTTGAAGATTCATTCATATCGTTGCTTGTAGAGCATTCATTTCTTTGCTATATAGTGTTTCATTTTGAGATTATATCGAAATTTACTTATCTTTTCTATCATTGATGGCATTTGGATAGTTTCAAACTTGGGGCTTTTACAAATGATGTTGTTATGAACATTCTAGTACATGTCTTTTTGTGGACATGCTTGCACATTTCTGTTGGGTATATGTAGCTAGGAGCGGATATTGCTTTGTCATAGAATGTGCACATGCTCAACTTTAATAGATACTGCCAAACAGGTTTCCAAAATGTTTGTATTCAGGCCCAATTTTAAGAGGGTCCTACCAATATGAGAAATGTTAGTTTTTCTGAAATCCCAGAAGCCCTTTTTTTTTAAATCTTACTTGGGATACTTGATAATTTTCTATCTTGTACTATAGTTATTTTATCTCCTTTTCTAGATGATAAACTCCTTGAAGGGATTGTTTTATTCATCTTTATATTTCCCAAAGTACTTTGCATGGAATAGACTAAATTTGATAGTTTTATTTGAATGGATAAGTAATTGAGGAAAAATTATATGTAGTATTAATGTCAGGAATGTTTATAAATTGCAAAAATATAAATAGCATACCCAATAAACTACGGGGATGATCTTAAAGTGCCGAACAGAATTAATGTATTGATATTAGCTCATAGATTTTTCTGAAATCTATTAAAGAATCTTATATGCTACTATGTGGGAGAGTTTAGTATGAAATTGAATTGTGGATTTTTAGCTATTAGACTTAAACCCTGGTGTTATCTCCCACATAGAAGCATGTGAATAGTATGCAACAGTGAACTAAATTTGTTAGCTTTGAATTTGAAGATTAATGAGAGGGTGCTGGTAATGAAGGGTGAGAGGGAAGTTGTGTTTTAGAACAGTTATGACAACGTTGTAACTCCAGTTGGGTCACAGCTTTGTCCCTTCCCCCAGATTCCTCCATGACTGACAAGAAGGACTGATTTTACTGTATCATGGGTAAGGCCAGTAAGAGTTTTGTGAGCCAAATAGAATTTCAGTAGCTTCTTAATTTAGTGTTAATACTTTTAAAACTGCTAAGTTAGGATATTAGGGATTTATGGGTGGTTTCCCCTTCATGCTTTTCTCCACATTCCAAATTTTATTCAATGAGTATATATTATTTTTAAAATCAGAAATTTTTAAAAATAATTTATGTTGCAAAAATTGTTAGCTTGACTGTCTCTCTTTTATTTCAGTCTTGGCCTAACTATGAGGATATCTATAAAAAAATGATTGAAATTGCCACATTTTTAGATTTGCCACGTTTTCCAGACATAACTGAAGACTGCTATCTTCATCCAAACATGTTGTGTCTGAAATACTTGATGGAAGTCAATCTCCCTGGTAAGTGCGTGGTGTATATGGTGAGGATACTTTTACCTGCTAGAATTATAATGAGCAAAATGTAGAATCCTCTCAAATGACAGACTATTAGAGCCACCTGACAGAGTCCATAGTAACATAAAGCTTAATTTCAAAATCCTTTCTTAAAGTACTTCAGGGGCTGGCCCTGTGGCCGAGTGATTGAGTTTATACACTCTGCTTCGGCAGCCCAGGATTTCGCTGGTTTGGGTCCTGGGCCCGGACCTAGTACCGCTCATCAGGCCATGCTGAGGCGGCGTCCCACACAGCACAACCAGAAGGACCTGCAACTAGAATGTACAACTATGTACTGGGGGGCTTTGGGGAGAAGAAGGAAAAATAAATAAATAAAATCTTTAAAATATTTCAAACCATTTAAGATAGTTAAAAAGACACTGTTCAGAAATAAAGAGTTCTATTTTGATGTGAGGGATGTGCCTGAGAGAATATATTTGGTTTTTACAGTAAGTTTGCCAACTGCGAGTAAAGTAAATGTTTCAGTATGTGTTTTTATGAGCTAGGCGCCCCCTCCCCCGTCTGGAAAACAGCATTTCTTTATTTGCATGAAGCATGATTATTACATAATGAATTTTAATTTTTTAATTATAAATAATAGTAACATAATGCTATTTCTGGTCCCTAAAACAAGTGGAGATCAAAGGCTGGTAGGATCACAATAAAGTCTTTAAGGCCAGGAAACAGAATGTGAGAGAGCCTCACTACACCTTGCTCACAATGTACCAAGACACAGTAACCCGATGGGGTCTGCCCATGGAATCCAGGCCTGAATTTCCTGCTGAACTAGAAATGTGAGGAATTTGGGACTTTTAGTCATAAGAGAAAATACAAATATGGTGTAACGATACTATTGCTTGAGCAATATCAGAAATGTGATTGAATACATTTTTAGTAGGAAAGGAAAATACATGTTATGAAAAAAGTAATATACAAAACTGTGCAGTATAATTTTAACTGTAAAAATAAATATATACTAACATATATACACAAATGTAAATATTGTCTATAATTTAAAAATATTTTTTAAAAAAGGAAAAAAACACTTCAAATGTGTGTGTCTCCTGTTGAGATCACAAAAGTCGCTAGCTATTTGATTAAGATTCCAGAATTTGGAAAGTCTGATTTCTGCATTTTAACATGTTGCATAGGTCAGAATTACTCTTTTGGATTTTGTTTTTTTGATTTACTTCTTTTTTTCTTAACTGAGGTATAATTGACTTATAACATTATATTAGGTTCATGTATACAACGTAATTGTATACATTGCAAAATGATCACCACAATAAGTCTAGTTAATGTCCGTCACCATACATAGTTACAAAAATTTGGTTTACATCTTTGATGGTTCTTTCAAAACACGGAAGGTTGCTGTGTTCTCTCATGTACTCCAAAATCTTGAACTTATAAAGGGAATACTAGATTATGGCAGGAATACCAGGAATTACCAAAATATAGCTGACACGGGCTGGTTTATGGCAAATGTCTAGCTCATGTGGTTGCCATTCAGCAGTGAGAGGGTAGTAGTATTTTCTGGCCAGTGTGTGTAGTTTGATCGTATTTCTCACCTAACTCTTCCTGAGAATAACAGGTAGAATTAAATCCATTATAATATGCAAAGAGACATCATCTGATATTTATTAAGTGCCCTTTTTTTCTCCCCAAAGCCCCAGTACATAGTTGTATGTCCTAGTAGTAAGTTATTCTAGTTCTTCTATTTGGGACCCCACCACAGCGTGGCTTGATGAGTGGTGTGTAGGTCTGTACCCAGGATCTGAACTGGCGAACCCTGGGCCGCCCAAGTGGAATGCATGAACTTAACCACTCGGCCAGAGGGCTGGCCCATTAGAACCAGGATACAGAAATTTCACTTTACACAGAGTGTTCAATAGAAATAATTTGAAATATAGAAAAAAATGTATACATAAATGTTATCAACCTTCTTATTTATAATACTGAAAAATCAAAAACAACTTAAATATCCAGCAGAAAGGTATAGTTAAGTAAACAGTGGTATGTATATTCAGTGGAACATTATGCATTGTGCAGCTTTTTTTTTTTTTTTTTTTTTGTGAGGAAGATTGGCCTTGAGCTAACATCTGCTGCCAATCCTCCCCTTTTTGCTTGAGGGAGATTGTCTTTGAGCTAACATCCATGCCAGTCTTCCTCTATTTTGTATGTGGGACACCACCACAGCATGGTTTGATGAGTGGTGTGTAGGTCCATGCCTGGGATCCAAACTGTTGGACCCCAGGCTGCCAAAGCAGAGCACACGAACTTAACCACTATGCCACCGGGCCAGCCCCATATGCAGCTTTTAAAATCATGTTTGTGAAGAGTTCATAAAAATATGGAAGATATTTGTGTTATAGTGAAAAGTGAAATAAGCCAAATTGCAAAATTAGATATAACCATAACCACAGCTACATAAAATGAAAATATTTGTAAAAATATTGGAAGTAAATATACCAAAATATTAAAGTGCTATTTATAAGTTATGATAATGCATTTTTTCCTTTCTTCTACCCTTATGTATAATAATTGTCCTATATTGAGTTTATATTACTTAAGAGTGGGAGGAAAACAATAAACAAAATAGAGCTACAAATTGAGATATGAAAGTCTCTGCACCTTAGGATTTAGCTTGTAAAATGTGACATTGATTTGCAAACTACCCATAAGATTATAAGAAGACCTGGGGCCAGCCTGGTGGCACAGCAGTTAAGTGCACACGTTCCGCTTTGGTGGCCCGGGGTTTGCCGGTTTAGATCCTGGGTGTGGACATGGCACCACTTGGCACACCATGCTGTGGTAGGCGTCCCACATATAAAGTAGAAGAAGATGGGCACAGATGTTAGCTCAGGGCCAGTCTTACTCGGCAAAAAGAGCAGTTAGCTCAGGGCTAATCTTCCTCAAAAATAAAAAAAATATATATATATAAAATAAAATAAAAAAAGACCTGTAGGATGTCACCATTTTTTAAACTTACAAATTTTGCCTTCTACAGTGCCATCAGTTCTGTTAATCAAAAAGAGGAGACCTGTGTATTTGGCACTTTCACAAAGAGAGGTTTTAGGGTTTTCAGAAAGCTAAAAGTGGTTTTAAGCATGCTGGGACAACAAATGCCCCTCCTTTGTGGCTTTCCGTGTGACCGTGTAGTCTCTGGAACGAGGCAGAAGGGTTTCAGCAAGCATGTCACACACACCCTTCTGAGTAAGCATTGCCTCTTTGATGGCTTTGAACGAGCTCCAGACGCTTTTTCTGGTATCGTTCCTCATCCTGGGACTGCCAAGTCTGCTAGAGAGGATTTCTGGCAGCTTTCACAGTCATGTTTAAAATTTTTGGATAACTTTAGCACTTCCAAAGTGCCTCCATATACATTCCCTCATTTGTGAAGGTGGAAAGGGAGGGGAAGTGGGTGTTTTCATTTACAGCTGAGACAAGATGGGGCTCAGTGACACCTGGCTGGTAGATGGCAGACTGCATACTTACAACCCAGTCTTTCCATTCCACAGCTAGTGTTCTTTCCACGTTATCCTCTGGTTCAGGATCCTGCACTCCTTAGTTTTTCTCCACTGTCCTTTCTTCCTTTCTCATAATTTCTTCCATTTGCTTTTTTATTACTTTGTACTTTTGGTATAAGAGAAGCAGTTTAAGATACTAATTTTAAAAGAAATAGGGGAAACATTTTTCAAGAACTGTCATTCTTTATAGTAGTAGTATGGTTTTGATTTTTAAATTATCTGAGAAGAAACTAGAGCCTCTATAACCAAATATAATATACAAAATTTTAGCGACTGTATTTTAAAATTAATTTTTTCCTGTGTTTTAAGTGTATGTGTGTGAAGGCAAGAATCCTACCTGTTACGCATTTTTCTGGTTTCCTCCATTGTAGCAGAATGTCTTGCACATAGTAGGCATTCAGTAAATGCATGTTGAATTAAACTTAATTTTGTATCTTATGATCTTTTTGTACCTGAATGAAGCCCATGAGTAAATTCAGTTGGAATCTGTAAGTTAAAATTATCTTAACAATTGTAAGTCCAAATTCTGTATCACACAGATACCACCTACCTCTCTCCATTCAACACCAGACTGAACTGTTTGCCTGTCCTCAAAGCATCACCTCATCTTTGTCATGGTCCTGATCATATTGCATTCTGATTATTTACAGTTATTAAATAATAAGCTCCTTGAGGAAAAGGGCTATGTATTTATCTTCAGTACCCAGGACATAGTTGCTCAATAAATATTTTTTTGAAAGAATGAGTAAAAGCCAAGTGAAAACTAGCTAAATTATTAGAACCTAGTAGACAAATAAAAATATTTTGATGCCATACTTTGAATTATCATTGTTATGTGTTTCTATATCTGTGTGAACAAAGCATTTTTTTTAGCAGTGGAGTTTCTTTACTTAAACATTTCAAGAAAGAAATTGGTTTTATATTTTACTCATTCTTCACCAAAAAGATGTAGGTAACACCAATTATGTATAAGTTGCTGCAGTTAGGAAGACAAATAGATCAAGACTGAGTCGTCGCTCAAGTTGAGAGAGACAAAGAAGTGCAGCCTTAACAGCACGCAGTCGGTCAGCGCTGGAAGAGCTGCTCACGCGTTCAGAACAGGCTGAGCAGAGGCGGAGTGTCTTACAGGTGCTCTTAGAAGCAGTGATTGGTGGGACTGAGCTCTGTGAGATGAGTAAGAATCCGCCCAGCAAAGCCTGGGGTGAGAAATGGGGAAAAGAAATGGGCTTTCTAGGCAAAGGGGCAAAAATAGTTGAGTAAAGCATCTAGAGGCCAGTGAGAATCTGGCTTGTTTGGGCAACTGTGGCAATCTATTTGGGCTGGGAGCTAAAAGTTTTAATGGGTTAGTGAGAGCAGGGGAATGAGATGATTAGATTAAGCAGCTTCAGACCAGAGGAAGGAAGACCAGTTATGAGGGTGAACTAAGGAGCAACAGTGGGGAGGGAGAAAAGTGGATGGATTTGAGAGCAGTCAGCATAATAGCTCACACTGATTAAGTGCCCACGGTATGCCGGGCGCTGATCTCGGTGCTTTAGGCATATTAATTCATTTAATCCTCACAATAACTATGAGGTAGGTACTATTGTTATTCCTGTTTTATACAGATGAAAAAACTGAGGCACAGAGAAGTCATGTAATTTGTCCAAGGTCACAGAGCTAGTGAGTGATGGAGCAGGGATTGCCAGCCAGGCAGTTTGGTTCCCTAGTCTGCTCTTAACCACTGTATTGTATGCGACTTTGGGTGTAGAGTCAGCAGGGTACGGGGACAGAGTGCATGTAGACGGTGCGGTTCAAATCAGCACAGTTTAGTCTGCTCTTAACCACTGTATTGTATGCGACGTTGAGTATAGAGTCAGGGTACGGGCACTGAGTGCATGTAGGAGGCTCAGTTCAAATCAGCACAGTTTATTATACTCTTACAGGTAGTAGCCATTCTACAGGAAATGAATGAAAATAGAATGTGGCACATGTTAGGTACTTAGATTAATGAGTAAAGACATTTGTTTAGTGATTTAAAGTTTTCAAAGTATGTTCACTTGTACTATCTTATTTAATCTCAGTTTATCCTCACCATAACGCATTTGACAAGCGAAGAACCTGAGGTTAAGTGACTGTAATCACAAAGCTAATGATTGGAAAGCCTGAATATAGTCCCTAGGTTTTCTGGTTCCAGGTCCTACCTTATTCAGCCTCAACTAGTAGATGCAGTCTCTGCTGAGCATATAATCTCTTTGGAAAAGCAGTACATCTAGTTAAGCACACATTGAAGCTTCCAGTGTGCTAGCCAGGGTGCCAGCCAGTGAGTGAGTGCACATTCCTGGAGAAGCTCTTGGTCTTACGGGGAGTGAGTTTCAGGTAAGCACAAATTACCGCAGGAACAAGACGAGAGACAGGTATGAACCAATAGGAAACTGTTCCATGGCTGTGTGTTAGGTGCCAAGATGTATCCTATACATAGTTGTGGTTTTAGGAGTTCAAAGTAGGAAAAGACATGCCTTGCCAAGATCCTACTGTTAGTTTCTCTATACGAGTATCATCCTTTGATTTATTTTATTCACAAAATGTGTGTCTCTGAGTTCTAGCTTGGTACTGTGGTTTAAGAGGAAGCTTATCTTATGGATATACACTTTAGTATGGTCTGATTAGCAAAGAATTTAATTCACATTTTACTCTTTTGTTCTTCAACAGACGAAATGCACAATTTAACCTGCCAAGTGGTAAAAATGACTGGAATAGGAGAAGTGGATTTTCTGACCTTTGATCCAATAGCTAAAATGGCAAAAACTGCTAAATATGATGTACAAGCTGTAGCTGTCATTGTAGTAGTATTGAAGCTGCTGTTTTTATTGGATGACAATTTAGAATGGTAAGTGTATGTCAGTTTTATGAGGAAAAAATTGTTTTGTTTTAACCTATTCAGAGTAAAGGAATCTGTGTTATCTCAGTAGAAAAGAGAGACACTCAGTTGTTCCAGGACATTGACTAGTAGTGACAGTTAGTTCTTACATAATATTTTGACTCAGCTAGTTGTCAGAGATTTCATTCTACCTTAGAAAGTTGTTTGTGTCATGTTTTATTCCTCTTTTTTAGGTAGATACGTGTGTCTCTCATTGCTCCACTGATTCCTAAGTTTTAAATCATCAGACACAAATCCTAAAGAATTATTTAGCACTTTGTCTGTATGCCTTTAGGCTCCTGGCACTATATGTCTCTCAAAGATTATTTTGGAAAGTAAAGGAATCTTACAGTGTTACCCCTCCCAAATGCCAAGAAAGAGTGGCGGTATTTATAGTGTCTTCTTCCCTGTTTCAGTGATTGCTTCTCCATTAAAATTTAGCATCAATTTCAAGTACTGTTGTATACATTTCTTTCAGAAGAATTCAAAATTTGTCTTCAAATAAGTGATTTCTAAATAAATTGACTTGTTTATTGGTATCCCCAGGTCTTTGTCTAATATTGCTGAGAAATATAATGAAAAGAACAAAGAAGGTACTTAATTTTTTTGTCAATCAAATTCAAAGTGATTGTAAATAAAGGATTAAAAGATAACAATAAAGTAGGAAAGAAACTTTGAAAAATATACACATACACCTACACATATGTATACACTTATACATACGTATGTATACAAATTGTACCTTATACTAGGATTATATTTTCATGTAGTTATCCAATTATATCTCTAGGCTATGAAAAAACTTAAGTGACTTTCTACTATGTGTAAAGACCAGCCTGCTTTTTTATTCCCAGCTTCTACTCACTCGCCAGACCAGACATGAACTTACTGGCACTTTGTGACTGTACCCTCTATTCTAGCGCCTTCAGTCCTGCCTCACACTGGTCCTTCTACCTGAAATGCTCGTTCCTTGTTACCCCCCAGCTCCGTCAATCCGTGGCAAATCTGTCTTCATTCTTCAAGATGCAACATGAATACCCTCTTCTCCCTTCTCTTCACACCCACTCCGCACCTCACCTCTTCCCAAATCAGAACTAATCACTCCTGCCACAACCACTCCTGTCCAAACTTCTATAAGGTGGTTAGGACATTGAATTATAACTAGTGGACCGAGTATGTCCATCCTTGTTAGGTTGTGAATATTTGTAAAGTGCTTAGAAAAATATTTGATGTGTAGTAAGTGTTACATTAATGATGGACAGACAGACAGGTAGATTGTGAGCTTCTAGGGGGAGGGGCCATATCTTTCTTACTTTTTTTTTTTTTTTAATATATCTTTAGTATCTAACATAGTGATTGGCCTGAGAGCAACTCAGTAAAGTTTGGTAAATACATGAATTCTTAAATTCAATTCCATTTTCCTGATATTCTCACCAGGATTTATGTTCACTGTTGGGGGGGTTGTAATTTCAGCTTTATTGAGGTATAATTGACATACAATTGTAAGATATTTAAAGCATACGTTGTGGTGCTTTGATATGCCTGTACATTGTGAAAGGATACCCCCCATCTAGGTAATTAACACATCCATCACATTACATGTTTATGTTTATTTTTTTTGGTGAGAACATTTAAGTTCAACTCTCTTTAGCAAATTTCGTTTATACGATACAGTGTTGTCAGCTCTAGTCCCCATGTGTCGCATTAGATCCTCAGACACTGTTCATCTTATAGCTGCAAGTCTGTGCCCCATACCCACCTCCCCTATTTCCCCCTCCCCCAGCCCCTGGCAACCACTTTTCTACTCTCTGTTTTTATGAGTTTGACTTTTTTAAAGGTTCCATTTATATGTTTATTGGTTTTAGGAGCTTGGGTTTAATGGTAACAGCCAGTGTGTGTTCTTTCCAGAGTATGTGCAAAAATCCTTCTTTCTGCACATTGTTTCAGGTCGGCTTCCGCACAGACTGAAAGGTTGAACAAGATGTCTTCTAGTACCCCTTCTCATGCTAAAGGCTCACCATAGACTTTGTAGACATTTAGGGTAAACGGTGCTTTGACATGTCTTCCCTGTGATCCTCAAAATAAATGTGTGCTGTCCGCAGGGCAGGGATTTGTCCCCATTCTCTCTGCTCCCCTGCTGTGCACTGTCCCCTGCCCCACATCACTGATGAGGGGCTTGTGGTTTAGAGAAGTTGTGACTTACTTAAGGTCAAAGAACCTCGAGTTCTATAAATCGTTAGTTTTCCTCTGTCCTTACAGCTCTGTTGGTATTTGCCTCTGCTCTTTGGCTGTATGGCCTACAAGGCCATATTGGGTTAAGTGATAATTATGTCAGCCAGTTGAAAAGATTTTTAACTAGACATCTTGAAGGAGAATATGTTCATTAAAGAACATATAAAATCAGGCTTTCACTCAGCCATCTTCCTCCTGTCAGCCTTCCTTCTAACTCCCTCTCTCTGTAATCCTGTTTTCTGCTTTACCTTTCATTTCATTTTTTTCCTCCCTACTCTTCCTGAGCTCCCGTATGGATTGAATAAAGGGGTGAGGAGTGAAGTTTTGTACTTGACTGCATTCAGTTCTGTTGTCTCTCTAACGTCGACATCTTGAACATACATTCACACCAGCTGTCCACTGCTGTCCACTTTCTTATCTCCAGATTCTTTGGATTTGGGTTAGGATTAGGAGGAACAAGAAAAGGAGCTGATGAAACTGGAAGTCTGGATTCAGCTGCTATAGTGCCATTTCACATATTTATCTATCATTTGTACCTTAAATCATGAATTCTGACTTACTGGAGTACCACCATATGCCAGGCACTGTGCTGGGTGTTGAGTTGGGAGGAAGAGGACTGATTGTATAGTGACAAACAAAATATGTCTTCTGTTCTCAAGGAGGTAATAGTCAAATCTAGGAGAAGCAGACATATAAAAAGCCAGCTTCAGTATAATCTGGTTAGGGCCACGATATAGGTAGGAACTCAGAGGAGAAGTCGTATTGGAGTACGGAGACAGTGACTCCCTCTGTAATTCCAGGGGCTATTGTACAAATGTTAATTATGTCAGTGGGTGAAGACTCAAGTGAACAATGTATATTATTATAATGTGACGTATTTGGTTAATAATCATGGATTTCGTTTCTTTCAGATAAGCCATGGTTTGATTTCAGAAAATGGTACCAAGTTATGAAGAAATCTCTTGATGAGAAAAAACAAAAATGGGAGGAAACCAGGGCAAAGTATGTTCTCTCTTCTAGTCTTAGATTCATCTACTTTATTTTCAAGTCTGTTACTCTACATTTGAAAGCTGAAGTTTCATCAGTATAGACTCATTGGCATTATGACATTTTTCGTAGAAATATTAGCCCCTATATTCTAGTTAACGTTTTTATTTTTTACATTACTATTAACTAAACTCCAGATTTTGTTTGGATTTCACTAGTGTTTCCATTAATATCCTCTTTCTGTTCCAAGATCCCACCCAAGGTACCACAGCGTTCTTAGTAATTAACTTCTTATAATTTGCGTGAGTCTCACCTGCATTTCTGATGCTTCTCCCTCTTCTCCTCTTTCAACATTGGTCATCTCCCATCTATGCTTTCCAATATTACAAAGATTACAAATGTCAGCCTGTCACATTTGTAACTGGAATGTTCCCTCCAAATAAAGATGCCTATAAAAGTCAAAACAAAGGAAAGCAGAAAGAGTAGATTTAATTCAGTCTCTCTCATTATTTGACTCTGAACTCTCATTCCGATGTAGGTCTGTTGTGGTAGAGTGGGAAGAGCACAGCTTCAGAGACACACAGCGCTGGGTGTGAATCCTGAATGCGTTACAGACTAGCTATGTGACTAGGCAAGCTGCTTAACCTCTTAGCCTCAATGCACTGAAATTTAGTTTGCTTATAAATTTTCAGTGACATTACATCTTATAAAATATAGAGTAGATTTCTATCGATCACTGATTTGAACAGTTTTATATCCTTAGAACTTTGAGTCTCTATGAGACTTTGAAGAAAAAATTAACATCTTTGTATTTTGCATAAATTTACAGTAACACTCGTTTGAACAAGTAATTTTGTATCCTTTGAAAAAAGCAAGGTTCCTCAAATTAGTTAAAATGATAATTCATTCAATTCTAGTTTCCTTATCAATAAAATAGGGATAATAATGCCTGCTTTATACTCTTAAGAACTAAATTTCAATTTTCACAGAGAACTAGACTATTTTTTCTCTAAATATAAGGGAACTTTTAAATAGAGAAACAGCAGACTTACAGGGATGAATAAAGCCACTGTGGGGAAGAGGATCCTTGCCAAAAAGGAGAGAAGAGTAACTGTTTGTCACTCTTCATGCCGATACACATGATGAAGGAGAAGTGGGAGGGGAACTTCTGACAGCTCATGGACACCCAGGAAACTGAGTCCTTCCTCTTCCTTGTCCCAGAAGGAATATCTCTTTAGTCATTTGGTCTCAGTGGGTACAAGAGTGGCAGCAAGAAGAGAAGTTTGTTCTGTTGTCTTAGGTTATCTTGGAGAATCAGCTGTTGGGCCTTCCTCTTTATGGTGCCAGCTAGGGTTGTCCTGACTGATGCTGAGAGGCTAGGTCTTCAGGGGCCATGCCACTCAGGTGTCTCAGTGGTGACTAGGCATTCATTAGCTCACACCAGGCACCAATTTACACTTCAAGCATAGCTATTAGAGCCCAAATTCCTATTGCAGTGTTATAATCAATTGCACATCTAAGACTTACTGACTTTTAGCTACTTTAAGAAAAAATTTACTGATCAAAGAAAGTATGTCTAGTTTCAAAATGGCATTTTCCCGGGAGACACCAGGTCCCAGGGAGGAGATTGTCCTGGGGCTCCACGACCAAGATGCTACTTCATAAAGTATATGCTTTGTGCTAAGAGAGATAACATATGTAAAGTAGTTCAAGAGACACTGTGGAGAGAATGAGAAGCCATAGGCTGGGAGAAAGTATGTGTAAATCACGTCTGATAAAAGATTTGTATCTAAAATATATAAAGAGTTCCCATACAATAAAAAAAACAAGCAGACAACCCAGTGTTTTAAAAGGCCAAAGAGTTGAACAGATACTTCACGAAAGAAGTTGTGTAGATGGCACATGAAATGATGCTCAATATCATTAGTTAGTAGGGAATTGCAAATTAAAACCACAATGAGGTAGCATTACATACCAATCAGAATGACTAAAAACAAACAAAATACTGACCATACCAAATGTGGGGATGCAAAATGGTACAGCTGTTTTGGAAAGTTTGGCAATTTCTCCTAAAGTTAACATACATTTATTTTACTACCCCATAGTTTTCACTCCTAGTTTTTTGTTTTGTTTTTTGTGGGATTTTTTGGTGAGGAAGATTGGCCCTCAGCTAACATCTGTTGCCAATCTTCCTCTTTTTGCTTGAGGAAGATTGTTGCTGAGCTGACATCTGTGCCCATCTTCCTGTATTTTGTATGCGGGACACCACCACAGCATGGCTTGATGACTGGTACATAGGTCCCTGCCCCGGATTCCAGCTGGTGAGCCCAGGCCACGAAGTGGAGCACACGAACTTAACCACTATGCCTCCGGGCCGGCCCCCGACTCCTAGATATTTACTCAAGTGAAATGAAAACTTAAGTTCACACAAAAATCTATATATGAATGTTTATAGTGGCTTCATTCACAGTGACCAAAAACCAGCAACAACCCAGATGCCCTTCAGCTGGTGAATGGATAAACAAACTAGTATGTCTGTACAACGGAATACTATTTGGCAATAAAAAGGAACAAACTTCTGATAGATCCAACAATATGAATGAATCTTAAATGCATTATGCTAAATGAAAGACTCAAAAGGTTACATGAGGTATGATTCCATTTATATGACATTCTGGAAGAGGCTAAACTCTAGGGACAGTAAAACAGATCAGTGGTTGCCTGAAATCAAAGGACTGGAGATTGGAGAGGGGTTGACTATCAAGAGGCACGGGAGATTTTTGGAGTGAGGGAGCTGTTCTGCATATTCATCCTGGTGGTGACTACAGAACTACGTGTTTGTCAAAGCTAGCAGCACTGTACACTGAACGGGGAATTTTACTGTATGTAAATTATACCTTAATTTTTAGCAGTGGAGAAACAGATCATATGGGAATACTGGAGGGAAGCATCCAGCACTCTGTGGTGTCCTGTAGAAAACGTTAGGACTTGTGGGGAATCTTTGTTTTTGTAGCTTTTGTGGTTGTGGAAAGACGTAGGCAAAGTAAAGTGAACGTTTGAAGGAGTATCTAGACAGTGTTGTTCTTTTAGATTACCTTCCCCATTTTCTGGGCGTATGACCAGGAAATAAAATACCTCCTTGCTGGTAGCATCACTGACACGTATATAGGCATTTATTGTAAATACATAAGATTAGGTCTAGATCCAGAATCTATCTAGATTAGGTATTCACGAGGAATTTTTAACAGTGAGTTTATCCAGAGATTGGGACTAGACTGTTTAGGGAATTTCTTTATTATTTGAGGGTTTTTTTTTTACGTTGAGTATGTTGTTACTTTTATTATTTAAGAAAATAAATAACAAAAAAGATATTTGAAAGAATCACAAACTCATTTACCATACGGGTAAATGACAAGCTCTCTGATATATTTTTTTTTTTTCTTTTTTAAAGATTGGCACCTGGGCTAACAACTGTTGCTAGTCTTTTTTTTTTTTTTTTTTTTTTAAGGATTGGCACCTGGGCTAACAACTGATGCCAATCTTTTTTTTTTTTTCTGCTTTATCTCCCCAAACCTCCCCTGCATACAGTTGTATATCTTAGTTGCAGGTCCTTCTAGTTATGGGATGTGGGACGCCACCTTAACATAGCCTGATGAGCAGTGCCATGTCCGCGCCCAGAATCCAAACCCTGGGCCGCCGCAGCGGAGTGCGCGAACTTAACCACTCGGCCACGGAGCCGGCTCCTCTCTGATATATTTTAAACGTGGCGTGGCTCACAAAAATTTAGTTTGCACATAATTTTCAGGAAGACCATCACCTTCAGGAAGACCATTAACATTGATTACATCTCTGCTGCTCCCTAGTGATTAGAGAAGTTTCATTTCTCTTCTTAACATTTTAAATCACTATGAGAATTTAAAGTAAAAAGTTAACATCTTTGTTTTATATAAAGTCAAGATTTTGCTGATTTGATCGTCTTTTTGAAATCCTTGAGAAATATCTCAATTCTTAATTGGTTAAAATGAACATTGGTTAAAATGTTTACTTTCTATAGGCATTTTCTTTCCCAGCACTAAAAACGAATGGTGAAAAATTACCCATTATAGAATACTATAAATTCCAAAATATTAAAATATTTGAATTTCTGACTTTCTGTTTCTTACCAGCTTTTTGGTAGAAAGTCCACAGATATTTCTTGAGTGTCAACTAGCCAGGTACTTTGTCAAGCACTGGATAATAATTACTTCTAACAATTGTATAGGATTTAAAGAATCCTTACATGCATTATCTTAATTATTCCTCTGACAGCCCTGTGAAAATAGAAGGCAGGTTTAGAGATGTTAAATTCATTTGTTTGTTCATTTATTCATCAATTCATTCTTCAACAAATATTTAAATGAGTCCTTACCATGTGCCACTCACTGCCAACACTAGGGACATGAAGAGTGAGACGGTCTCTGCCTTTGAGAACCTCCAAAATGTGTCACATATGACGCACGCAAGGTCATACCATTAGGAAGTGGCAGAACCGGGTCCTCTGATTCAGTCCTCTTCCCCTTGCCACGCTGCTTCTCACAATAAGAAAATGGCCTGAGATCAAAAAGAAGGTAGTACTTATTTTTACTATAAATTATGAAAATCCTCCACATTAGGAAACTTAGAGTTAATGAATGAGACTGAAAATGAACATTAAGTGTTATCTTTGTTCCAGGGTAGCAGTGTCTGCTTGGCAAAGTTAGCAATGGCCACTAGAACCAGAAATAGAACATGTCACTTCCCTTGGTCCTGAGTCTAGGGCTGGTCACCCCCAATCTGGAGGAACCCCACATGACTCTTGGTCTCTGCCCTGGAAGGCACCCAGAGGGCCGGGTCAATGTGGGGTCTCCATTTACAGTGGAGCCTCCCTGGCTGGCCTTCCCTGGGTGAGGAAAGGGTAAGTCAGCGCAGGGACTATTAGCACTGTGTCATGCTGGATTCCAGACCTTTCCTCATTCCCACCAGGATAGGATTGACCTCCAGGCGTTAAGTGCCAGTCTTCTACAGTCTTCACTTTGTACGAGTTATCAGAAGCAGAAGTACCGCTAACTTAATCCTCAGCAAAAGGGCAGCTGGGCAAAGGCAAGGAGGAGCAAGGTGCCTGGGGGCTTCGCTGTGTAAGCATGGACGGCATGGAAGTTTTATGGTGAGGGAAACCACTTCCACATTTTCTGCATAATTAGTAGCTTCTTCAGGATCTTCTGGCATCCGGGAGGCTTTGGAAGGAGCACGTCATTTTGTTGGCTTCTTCTCTTCTTCGGTACTACTTGCTTACTTCTAGGACATGAGCTTTATAGACAGGTGTCAATAGGTCATGCTAAGCCAGAGCTTTTACACTGATATCAGGAATTTCAGATGTTGCTTCAGAGAAACTGCTCTGAAATGTGTTTAGGTCTGTTTCTTCTCCATCCTGCTCCAACTGTTTTTCTACCTTGGATAGGTACCTGTGGAAAAGTGAAAAACCACTCTACCACTCGTCTATCGACAAATCAGTGGTATGTAAAAGAAGAGGTGAGTTACGTCTGCTCTTGTTAATGGCGCAGGTGGCAACACAGTTGTGGAAAAGCTAAATATCTTGACTTGAAAAGTGAATGCCTAAGTAATTTTTTTACTTCTTTAACAAACGTTCCAATGCACATCCCAAGAATCATCATCCTTGGCAAGAAACCTCCAGAAGAATCTATTTATTGCAGGAACATGCCATCATACCAAACAGAACTTACCTTCCCACCAGAATCTAAAATCTTATATTTCTATGGCTTTCAGAACTCTTTGTTTGGAGAATTACCCTCAGGTTGTCTTATTCGTTCTTCTTTTTTTTTTTAATTGTGGTAAAATATATATAATATAAAATTTACCATTTTAACCTTTTTTAAGTAGTCCCCCGGCTCCCCTCATCCAATTTCAATTTCCTCTAATGTTATCCTCATATTACCATGGTACATTTGTCAAAACTGAGAAACCAACATTGGTACATTACTATCAAGTAAACTGCAGACTTTATTTAGCATTAGTTCTTAGTTTATTCCTTTCATTTTTTCTTCCATTTCCAGAAATGGTGGTGAATCTACAAAAACAGTTTAGCACACTGGTTGATTCAACACCAACTATTGGAAAAAAAAGCCCTTCAAGTTTTCAGTTCAACTGGACTGAAGAAGACCCTGATAGAACTTGTTTCCATGGACACAGCCTCCAGGGAGTCCTGACGAAGAAAGGCCAGTCACTGACTACCAAGAATTCACTGTATTGGCTCAGTACACAGAAATTCTGTAGAAGGTATGTGATGCTTTTAGAAATCAAACGATAACAAAACATGATGAAATCTCTAGTTTGGCTTGAAGTAGTATTCTTTTCTAATTAAAAAAAGTCACATATAATTTAGAGGAGTTGGCTACAATAATGGCTAGATAGGTTATTTGTTGGAATTAGACGATGGTGAGCTTATAATCAAGAAAATTGAAGTTATACATTGAGTTTTGTGTAAGAGTTTTAGGGATGGAGGTGTTAACTAATCTTATTGTGATAATCATTTTACAATATATACATGTATCAAATCATCACATTGTACACCTCAAACTTACATAAATTATATGTCAATAATAATAAAGCTGGGAAAAAAGTGTTAGATTATAAAGCCTTTTCTCATTGTGACTTTATATTTTTATACTAATCCCATTTCCATATTGACATAGAAATTGTCTATAAGGCAGTTTCCCATGCTAGTTAAGAAGACACGTTAATGAATCTGGCTGTTCATATCCCAGTTCTCCTGCTTGCTCATTGTGGGCAAGTTATTTACCATTTACACATCTCTGTTGTCCCGATTATAAAAAGAGGGTATAATACTCTTTCTCCTCTTCTCAGAACCTCCAGTGGCTCCCATCTTATTGAGAGTAAAGTCAGAAGACCCTGTGGAGCCCATGAGCCCCTGCTGTTGTCTGCCCTCCCCTGACACCTCCCTTCTGTGCTCACTGCCGCTGTTTACACCAGCTTTCTGGCTGTTCCTTGAACCGTTCCTTGCTAAGCACACTCCCCGTGGCAGGCCTCTGTGTGTGTTGTGCCTTCTGCATCCAGATGAGCTCACTTCTTTCAGGTTTTTGCTCAAATTTAATTTCCTTGGAGAGACCTTTCTTAACCATCCTGTCTAAAACAGCACCAACCCTCCCCCACACACCCCTCATCACTCTCTGTCCCCCTTGCCTGGTTTGTTTCCTGATGGCTTTTGTCACTATTGAATATATCATATGTTATATATTTGTTTTGCTTATTTGTTTGCCTCCCCACACTAGAATGTAGGTCCTTGAGTGCAGGGATTCTGTCGTATTTAATGAAAAATGCCAGAGGCCGGAGCAGTGCCTCTCACATTGGTGCTCACCAAGTGTTTGTTGAATGAATGTATGGAAAATAGAAGCTACCCCATAGGCTTCTTATGAGAATTAAATGAGATATTTGGTCTCTGTCACATAGTAAATTCTCAATAAATAATTATGATCATTATTATTTTAAACAAAACTTTCTATTAAAGAGTTTCACTTCCTGAGTTGAGTATCAATCAAAGATAAGTAAAATGTAGAGAATACAGTCAGAGATAATAAAATGAAGTTATCTGTATATAATTTACTGCTCAAAAAAGTTTAGCAGAGTCTAGAATGATTAAGGAGTGCCACATAGTAACAGCAGCAACAGTGAAAGGCCAGAATCCCAACCCTGGGGTCTGAGGTGATACATTCCTTTGCAGTGATCGGTGCACTGGCTTTTTCAGGTTTTAAGGTTTCATCAGGGGCCGAGTGGTTAAGTTTGCGAACTCCGCTTCGGCGGCCCAGGGTTTCGCCGGTTCGGATCCTGGGAGCGGACATGGCACTGCTAGTCAGGCCACACTGAGGTGGCATCCCACGTGCCACAACTAGAAGGACCCACAACTAAAAATACACAACTATGTACTGCGGGGCTTTGGGGAGAAAAAGGAAAAGTAAAATCTTTAAAAAAAAATAAAAAGATTTCATCAAGAGGAAGAGAAAAGGTTGTAGTCCTGGCCAGTGAGGAGCCCACATGCATGAGACCAGTTAGGAAGTGCTGGGCCCAGGCTCTTCTGCCTCATCTGCAGCAGAGTCGGTCCTGAGGGTGTTAGGGGGGCGCTGACACATTTATGCTTTGCATAGGCACAGTTAGTGGATTTTGGTGGTTGTTCACAGATTTAATTCTGTGATTTAATATAAGGCACTTGGTATAAACAGGCTGTGGTAGCGTCAGAGATGAAACAGCTCAGATTTTTTTCTCTGCATGAACTATAAGGCCAAAAACTATAACATATAGATGAAACGTCAGTGGTACCATGACTTTATGCACCAAAATGATCTGTCAGCCTTGCCTATTTAGACCATAGCCTAGAAGCAAGAGTAAGCAAAAAAAGGCTTCAGTCATCCAATAAAAATGTCACAAAGTCTGCCACTGAAGCTTATGCACTTTTCTCAGAAAGCCCCTTAGCCCCTCACTCAGAGTCTGCTTCCTCTGCCTTCAGGTGTGTTTCTGTCAGGCTGAGTTGTCTGATTTTCAAATTCCTAATCATCAAAAAAAACTAAGTAGGAGGGAGACCGAGAGGTACTCTGCTGATAGGCATCTTGACAGCAAACCTAAATGACATCCTTTTGAAGACAACAGAGGAGCCAGCATAAGAATCAGAGGCAGACGGAAAACTCACATTGCAGCGTCTCGAGTTCATTCGTGACACACAGTCAGTAGCTCCACATGACTTAGTAAGCCTGACTGTGTCTCAGCTTTAACATAGAGCATGTCCCAAAATGCTATGTGCATTCTCTTTGGGTTTGTTTTTCTTAGCTGTATTTTCTAATATTTCCACAATAAAAATAGACAACTTGTAATAATTGTAAAAGCTAAAAAAAATTATGCTGAATGTGCTCTGTTTAGGATAACATAATATATAACTCAGTTTTTAAAGATTTCTATCCAACATGGTTAAAATGAAATGTTTTGATGCTTGAGAGCAGACCTTCAGCTATTCAGATGAGTTTGTCATGCAGAAGGACTCGTTTCTGAGGGGTCAAAGGGACAAGCGTTTTACTGTAAAATAATCATGAGAACACTCAGGCCTCCAGAACTAAGCAGAGAAAGGCAGCGAGAGCGCTTCAGCTATGGGCGGTTGTTCATCCTTCCGAGGCAGAGCTAACAGTCACAACGAATTTAAACGCCCTTGGTATTCCTTACATTCCTGCGAGTGGGCCAGGTACTGACAGTCAGCTGGTCCAAAGACCTGTTGCTGGCCCTGGCTGATGACGGTCCATCCCTGACCTCCCTGAGGGGCGGGTAGCTCATCGTCCTTCCACAGGAACAGGCGCAGCCATGCTGTTTCACCTTGTCTTCCGCAGGAAATGGAGGGGCTTTGGATGTCTCCCAAAAGTTTCGCTTGAATTTTTAGAAATTTATTTTTAACTCATTCTTTTAGACTATAGTAAAAAACAGTACTCAAATATGTCATGTGCCAAATTTGAGCATACTTGAGACCCACCAAAACATTAACTTGTGTCACCAGGTTTTATTTGTTTCTTTTGAGTGTGGGCAGACTTCACAGATTGTTCCTTCTGCATGCATTTGACCTTCTCATATTCACAAATAGAGAGAACAGTGTCACGAACGCCCCTGTACCTGTCACTCAGCTTTAACAACTGTCAGCATGGCTACACTTGCCTCATCCATGCCCCACCTCACTCTTCACCCTCTACCCCCAGATTATTTGGAAGGAAATCCTAAACATCATAATATTTTTTAAAGAAAATTATAATACTGTTAATCAGACGTTAAAAATCTAATAGTAATTCCTTAATATAATGTGCAGTCAACATTTAGATTTTGATTGTGATGTAATTTTTTTAAATAACTCAGTCTATATAAGGCCCATACATTGCAAGTGGCTGAGATATCCCTTAAGTGTTTTAGTTTGTAAATTCCCCCTTTATCTCTTTTTTTCCCCTTGCAAATTCTTGTTGAGTAATCCAGGTCATGTGTCCTGTACAATTTCCCTTAGTCTGGATTTCATTGATTACCACCCATGATACCATTTAACACGTTCCTCTGTCCCCTGGATTGCCTGTGCCTTGGTATAGTTAGAAATTTGGTGGTTAGGGTTAGCGATTTGGTGGTGGTGATTTGATCAGATTCAGGGTCTACTGCTTTAAAATAAGTGAAATTGCTTTGTGAACTCTTCTTTCTATACTGCATACAGGATTACAAGCTACATTATCAACTCTGGTGTCTTATTTTGAGTGGAGTTAGGGATTATTTGTTTTCCTTTGTTTATTTTAAAGCTATGCCCAGAAGGGGCTGGCCCTGTGGTGTAGTGGTTAGGTTCACATGCTCCACTTCGGCAGCCCGGGGTTTGTGGGTTCAGATCCTGGGTGCAGACCTACACACCGCTCATCAGGCCATGTTGTGGCAGCATCCCACATACGAAACAGAGGAAGACTGGCACAGATGTTGGCTCAGGGTCAAGCTTCCTCACCAAGAAAAAAAAAACAAATATGCCCAGAATCTCTCCATGTCTGCTTTTGTTTGCCTTGACCATGGTAAGAAGGGGCCACCTGGAGTGGAAGAGCCTCTGGGCAGCGAGTTGTGAGACCTGGCTCTAGCACCATCTGTGTCCCTTGCATGGTAGCCATGGACCGTGCTAAAATTTTTTGCTTTGTAAAACTAAGGAGTTTGACCAAATTGTTTCAAGTTTCCTTCCAACTCCGAGTGCTGTTTTAAGCCTGGCCATGTATATTTGCTAAGTTATTTGGGGGATGTTCTGGGGATAGATGCAGACATTTCCAAATGGTCATTGAAAGGTAACTTCTTCCTTTTTCTTCCCCTTCTAGCTATTGTAAACATGTGACGACTTATGAAGAATCAAATTTTTCTCTGAGTTATCAGTTTATAATAAATCTCTTCTCCTTTCTGCTGAGAATAAAGACCTCCTTTCTCCATGAAGAAGTGAGCTTAATTGAAAAGAGACTTTTTAAAACAAAATATAGTAAAACAAAAAAGAAATCTTCAAGATCCAGGAAAGTAAGAAAATACTGAGAAAAATGAAGTAGAAACTTTCTTGGGAAAATATTTTAATAGTGACAGCAATGTCAAATTATAATATAACATTCCAGAGAATTGTGGAAAATAGGTTTTTATTGTATATACATGTATACATGCAACACACATATATACACGTACACATATATATGTCCTCAAATGTGCTTATAAAAATGTATATTGGAAAGCAAGTAAACTTTGTTTAAATTTATTTTTTAAATTATGAATGTTCTTTGAGATAATTAAAACAATAAGCTTTATAAACGGTATCCAGAAATTTATATTCATTGTTCCAAAGAATTTAAGAAGACAGGACACTTTCTGACTCATTCTTCAAGGCCAGCGTTACCCTGATACAAAAACGAGACAAGGACAACACAGAAAGGAAAATTACAGGCCAATATCACTGATGAACATAGATGCAAAAATCCGCAACAAAATACTAGCAAATTGAATACAGAAATACTTTAAAAGGATCCTACACCATGATCAAGTGTGATTTATTCCAGGGATGCAAGGATGGGTTCAACATCTGCAGATCGATCAGTGTGATAGACCACGTTAATGAAGTGAGGAATAAAAATCACGTGATCCTCTCAATAGATGCACAGAAAACATTTGCCAAGATCCAACATCCATCTATGATAAAAACTCTCATTGTATTTTAAAGCTAAATTTGCTTTTTAAACTCGATCACTTCCTTACTCTTTATGCCCAAAGTAAATCCCAAATAAATCAAAGATCTAAACATAATCTTTTATATATAACATATATTAAAGTATTAGGAGAAAACAAGTGTGATTGCTTTGATGATCTTAGAATGGGAAAGGCTTTCTAAGCATGCCTCAAAACCGGAAGCCAGAAGGAAAAGATTAACAATGTGACTACAAAGGGAAATGGCAAACTGGGAAAATATACTTGCAGCATGTGCTGGACAAAGGAAGCATTTCTTTAATGTATCAATAGCTCTTGGAAACACTAGAAAAAAGACAAGCTGAGCAAGGGATATGAAAAGATAGCTTTATGAAAAAAAGAAATACAAAGGCCAAGGCAAAAGACAGGAGAGGATACTCTCCCTAACTCTTATTAAAGAAATACAAACTAAAGAGAGATGATTTCCCACATATTAGATTGGCAAAGATTATTAAGGTTTATAATACCTGGTGAAGATACTGGAAAATCAGGCATTCTTACTCAGCTTCTTTATGCAACGAATACTTTCCGAGCAACTTACATGTTGCAGGCCCTGGAGAAAGCACTGAACAAGGTCCCTGCCTTAAAGATCTCCTGTTCTAAGGGTGGGGGCAGATAGTAAACAAATATATATATTTGGGGTAATGAAGTACAATGAAGAAAAATCAAGATAAGGGATAAGTGATAGGGTGGGCCATTTTATAAAGAGTGGTCAAGGAAGGAACCTCAGGGGAGGTGACATTTGAGCAGAGACCAACATGTATGAAGTACAATTGAGGGAGCAAGCCATATAGCTATCCAGAGGAAGATCATTCGAGGCAGAGGAAACACGTGGAGGCTCTGTGGCAGGAGTGCTTGATGGATTCGAGGAATAGCGAATTGTCCAGAGCGGCTCCAGTGTTGTGGTTGAAGGGGAGAGTGGTAGCAGATGAGATGGAAGAGGTGGCCTTCAAGGCCAGGGTAAGGCTTTTATCCCAATGGTGTCACAGGACACCACAGGAAAATTTTGAGCAAGAGAATGATGTGACCTGACACATGTCATAAAGGGGTCACGGACCGCCCTGTGGTGAACAGACTGCAGGGGAAATGGGCACAGGTAGGGAGGCCACTTGAGAGACTATCGCACTGGTTCAGGCGGGAGATGGTGGTTTAGACTACAGATTGTAGTGGAAGTGAAGTAATGAGATCTCAGATACAGTGTAAGTATGGAATAAATAAGGATTTGGTGATGGGCTGGTTGTGAGTATAAGAAATCAAAATGCCATAATGTTTTTTTCCTGAGCAACTGAGTTGAGGTCCCATTTATCAAGATGGGGCTATTTTAATTGCCTCCCATTCACCCTGTTTGTGAGGGAAGCTATTCCCACCCTAGGATTGTGGGGACCACATGGCACCCAATGCTGAACAGATGAGAAAAACAGCAGTTTATTAATCACAAAGACTTACCACCTGAGGGGGCCCACTACGCAGGGTCTGAGGGAGGCGGGCTTTGTAGTATCAAGAGGATGGAGTGACCCCTGGTTCCTGCAGGAAGCTATGATTAGCTTGTTAGAACAATTCCATGGGCTGGCAGAGAACTGAAACCCACTACTCAAGAGGAAGCAGGAACTGCTCCTGGTCCTCTAGATAAGGTGTGTTTGGTTAGGGGTGGGAGTGGAGTGGGGAGGAGAACTTGTAGTTAGGCCATTTGAGGTCCTCCCAGTTTCACCAGATGTCAAGGCAGCACATAATACCGGGCCTTAATTATAGGCCTTAAACCAGAGGGAGAACCCTGAGAAGAGTGGGAATTGGGAAATCAGTTCTGTTTTGGGCATGTGGGGTCTGAGATGCCTATTAGACATGGAAGAGATGTCAAAATAGACAGTTGGGGTAAAAAAATCGATAGTTCAGAGTTCTAAGATAATGTAAATATAGAAATCACCAGAAATGTTAAAACTGTGAGACTAGATGGGATCTCCTAGGGAGTTAGCATAGGTAGAAAATAGGTCTTCCTAGATGCTGTTTATGAGGTTGTGCAAGTTCTCTTCTAGTCCTGGTTTGCTGAGAGTTTTTATCAGGAATTGATGTTAGGGTTTTTTTCAAATGCTTTTCCTTCACCTATGAGGTGACGGTATGGTTTTTCTTTTTTAGCCAGTTAATATGGTAAATTACATTGAGTTTCAAATGTTAAACCAACCTTGCATTCCCAGGATAAATTCCACTTAGTCATAATCTATTATCCTTTTTATATATTGTTGAATTTGATTTGCTGAAATTTTGTTAAGAATTTTTACATCCATGTTCATAAGGAATGTTGTTCTGTAGCTTTCTTTTCTTGTGATTTTTTTTAATCTGGTTTTGTTATCTGAGTAATGCTGGCATCTCAGGATGAGTTGTAAAGTATTCCCTTCTCTTCTGTTTTTACTTTGTCGAAGCATTTGTATAGAGTTATTCCTTAAGTTTTAGTATTAAAACTCATCTGTATCTGGATTGGGAGGGTTTTCAACTACAGGTGCAATTTAATACATATAGGGCTATCCAGGTTATCTCTTCTTGAAAAAGCTTTGCTTTTCAAGAGACACTGTTATGAAAATGAAGTCATACCAGCAGCTGGGAAAAAAATATTTGCAAAACATACATCTGACAAAAGACTTGTAGCTATACAAATAATTCTTAAAACTCAATAATAAGAGAGCAAAAAAAAAAAAAAGCCACCAAAAATAGGCAAAAGAATTGAAAAGACACTTCAGCAAAGAAAATATACAGAGAACAAATAAGCATGGGAAAAGTGCTCGACGTCCTTAGTTATTAGGAAAATACAAATTACAACCAGAAAGAGATACCACCACACACCCACTAGAATGGCTAAAATTTTAGAAGACTGACTATAGTAAGTGTTGACAAGGATTTGGAGCAACTGGTGCTCCCACTGCCAGTGGGAATGTAAAACAGTGCAACCATTTTAGAAAACAGTTGGGTTGTTTCTTAAAATGAAAAATATGCCTACCATATGATTCAGCCATTCCACTCCTAGGTGTCTTCCCAAGAAAAATAACAGCATATATCCACACAAAGACTTATACACAAATTTTCACAGCAGCTTTATTTGGAATAGCCAAAAAAGGGAAACAACCCAAATGGGCATCAACAGGTGAATGGATGTGGTATATCCATACAGTGGAATACTGTTAGCTATAAAGAGGAAGGAACTGTTGAAACAGTAACAACACCTCAGCTCAGGAGAGGGATTTGGCAGAGTATATAAAAAAATATCATTTTATAACTTAAAAAGTTAGTTTCTAAAGATTTTTACTGAAAAATGTTATTTGAATATAAATTTTGTGGACTCAACATCATGATTTGAAGTGCTATGGCACTTCAGTTGAATAAAGAGTTGAAGTTGCTAACAAGTTCCATATACTTAAAAATATCAAGACAGAGAGTACAAAGCTATGAAAAGTTTTGGGCCACCCACAAATGTGAAATAAGATTAATAAGAGAGGAAAGGGAAGCGAAAAATAAGGTTTTGCATGCATTTCAACCTTATGATTTACATTTAAGCCTAATAGGCGTTACTTCTTTAGGAGTCAATGCTTTCACACCTAAAAACTATTCAACCGGAGGAAAAGCTTATCTGTATACTGCCTAAAAGGGGAGGAGGATTATATGACAGTGGTAGCATGCGTTGAGCACCTACTCTGTGTAAGGTACTATACTAAGTGCTCTGTCTCATTCAGTGTTCTCAGCTGTTCCCTGAGGGCCACACTCTCATCCCCGTGTAATGGATGAAAAACTAAGGGTTAGCAATGGGAAGTAGCCTGTCACGGGCACAAGCTAACACAAGGCTGAGCTGAGATCTGAACTCCAGATTCCAAATTATATTAAAAAAAATCCTCAGTTGTAGACTTCCTCTTGCTTTAGCAGTCCGTATGTTTCCCTTTTGTTTGCATCCTGGGGATGGAAGAAGGTTCGTGTATATTTTAGTAAATTTATTTCAATAAAAATTTCTTGATTGTTTCTATCGGTGGTTCTCCAAGTGTGATCCCTGGATCAGCAATGACGTCACCAGGACACTTGTTAGAAATACAAAATCCCAGGCCCTGCTCCCGACCTGCCATTTCAGAACTCGGTGTGGAGCCCAGAAAGCTGTGATTCAAAAAGCCCTCCAGGAATTCCGATACTCGCTGAAGTGTGAGAACCCCTGATTATCGTATATCAATAAAGGTTTAAAAGTAAATGATGTGGTACGTGAATTAAGGAATGCTTGTAGGCTGAATCCCTACCTACTAAATCAGAGGCGTCTATTTCTCTTACATAACGAAAATTCTGGATCAAGTCATTCCCAGTTCGTTGGGCAGCTCAAGGCTCAATGCTATCAAGGACCCAGAGTGGTCTGGTCCTGCCCTCCTCCACATGCTGGCTCTTTGTTCTTCAGCTCGCTACCTCTTGGTCACAAGATGGGTACTACAATTCCACATGACCAAATTCAAGGTAGAAAGGTGGGGCTGGACAGAAGACTTCCTCAAGAGCCTCTCTGGCGAGAAAGCTTGTCTAGAAGCCTGCCAGTAGAGTTTCTTTACTTAGCGAAGGGGGATAGGATTACCACGACTAGTTTAGATTATCATGATGCATTCCTACCTTCCCTAAGATTATGGATCTTTGTCTAGCATTCGAGCAAAGTTAAGGTACTGTTAACAAGGAAAGGTCAGGGGACTGTTAACAGGCAATGGACAATGTATATGTCGTCTTTGCTCTCGAGTTCAAAGTCCTAACGTCTAATATGTGCAAAATGTGATGCAATGGTGAACAATTCCTAACATCTGTTGATCACCTACCCACCACGGCACTGTCAGATACTTTATGGCTATTAGCATCCAGATTGGCTCTAGTCTTAGGGAATGACTGATAATAATAAGTGCTGGCATAATGTCTATTATGTACCAGACACTTTGCTAAATGATGTATATAATATATAACTAAGTGCCATATATATTATATATTAGCAACCGAGTGAAATTAGCAAATGAGTTATTAATTTATCCTCACAACAACCACATGATGTAGGTACTATTATTATCCCCATTTTACAGAGGGGAAACCTGAGACACAGAGGGGCTGAGTAACTTGCCCAGAGTCACACACTTAGTCTGGAATAAACTACTGCGCTACACTGTCTTTCCAGAGACTTCAACCCTCTTTTCTCTCAAGGAGCTTACCATATTAGCAGAGTCATATTGATTTCACTGCTTTCGACATACAGAAACAATGCTGCTTGCCCTTGCTGTCTGTAAGCTGTCCCTAGCCTCCATCCTGCTGGGTAGGGGTGGAGGGCAGCAAAGAGGGAGAGACAGCACCTTGATCTTTAATCTTACCAATTAAAGATATCTTAGTCTCTTCAGGGTTAAAATAGTCACTTTGGAATAAATATTTAGTAAAATTAAAGTTCAAATCCCTACTAGGGCTGTTTCTTCCTTCTGTCTCCTTCCCCAGATGGCCTCTGGGTTCAAGGGTGGGATGGAGGAAGAGCCCCAACTCTACATGTGTCCTCTGGGTCCTTGCCAGGCTCTGATGTAGATGGTCGCTGGTGCTGGTGCGGTAGCACCCCTACAGCAGAGCCTGCATCAGGGGAACCCCCTGAGGCTTGCTCCTCTCAGCCCCCACTGGCCTCAGGCCTGTCCACAAAGCCGCTGGTGCTCAGCTCCACCCGCTGCCTTCCGTGTCCTCACTGGGTGCGTGGAGGCGTTTCTAGATCCCTTCCACCCTCCAACGTGCCTTAGTAGGCTGGGCTGCCATTTCTTCTGAGCTGCAGTCATCCCGCACGGGCACAGGGCACCCTCCAGCCCTATCTCTGCCTGAATACTTGCCTCAGCTGTTTCTAAACTGCAAAGACACACAACTATGGAATAAGGCAGAAACAGGCTAAGTGCCACACTGGATGTACAAATAGAGCCCAATGGAGCTGAGAAGAGGAGATCAGCACCACGGGAAGCTCAGGGTGTAGAGGACCCAGCTTCCCAGGCTGCCCCCCCAGGAGCAGGAATCAAATTTCTACTTTCCTTTCAGGGGAAGTAATAAATTATTTTGCCACTATAGTGATTTGTGATATTTCTTGATGTGAGTGGCATCTCTTTTATGAGCAAATCTTATTTTATGTTGTTTTAAAAAAATTAAATTCCTTACCACTGCAATGAAACATAATTTTACGATTTTGGTGACCACCCTAAAGGGAGAGAAAACCAGGTGAGGTTTCCCATAGTCCCGGAGCCAGTGACTGTTGTCATAGAGTGAAATCAGACTTCTTGGGGATGAGAACGGATGGCTGCAGACACTTCTGGCAAAGACAGTCTTTAAGTTGTTTTATGTGTCTCCGTGGTCAGTCTAAGCTCACAGCCACGCAAACAGCCCGGACATGCTGGAATTGTGACTGAGCATCAAATTTGGACCAGCAAAACATCGTGGAAAGAAAACACAGCTGTGGGACACATTTACTAAGCACCTTTCTACCCAGTGAACATTTTACATGTTTTCTCGTTTAATATATCTAGATAAATCTATTCATCTACAACTAGCAATTAAAGGTTTGGTCACCGTCGATTAAAACAAAATCTTCAATTTTTAAAATTAAATCAGTGAACGTACCATGAGAGTCTTTTCCCACAAGAATATAGAACATTGGCCCAAATATTTCATTAATCTACAAAGATATCTCATACATTAAGAACATAGTTTTGTTGGGTTTGGGGTGTGTTTTTCTTTTTTAATCCTTCAAAAGAATGGAGGTTTCTGTAGGCAGCTTGAAATTCCACGTTAGACTTAAAAGGAAAAGGAGTGTCTCCTACCTGCCGGCTTTGCCTCCTCTTGCATCAGGTCCGTCAGCATTATTATGGGATGTAATGATGGTTAACAGAGTGATGAGCCACCAGGTATCTTATCGCACCGAAGGGCAGCCTTTCTCCCAGGGCGCCCAGGCCTGTCCTTGCCACGCGGAAGGGAAGCCTCCCACTGCCCAAAGGAAGGAGGAGAGCCCAGGGCCGGGGCGGCAGGTGGCCTGTTTACCTGTAGAAAGTCTATGGTTCTGTGTTCTCTCTTTATAGGGTTTTTTTTTCCCCTCTATTGGCACAAAGCCACCTAGAAAAAAAGCAGTTTAATTCAACGTTATAATTACACAGAAAGCCCTATTGCTTCGAAGGAAAGAGGGAGCATTATTTCCGAGTCTTAAGGAAAATCTTGAACAGAATTTCCAAAGTGTGGCTGCTGTAAAAAGTTCTGTGAATTGTTATATATTGCAGAGTTAAAAGTGTGTATTTTCATCTTGAGTATGTTGCCAGCGACGTTTTAAAATTGAAAATGCCTCTGCGTTCTTGAAAGCTGAGTAAATTCACACAGTCTTAAGTCTCTCACAGAACGTTTTCAAGCAGCTCTTAGAGTATGTTCCCTCGTTCTGTGCCCTTGTGAAGTATTTAAGCATAAAGCGATTGTAGGGCCAGACTTGCCTGGTAATGCGCTTTGACTTGAGAAGAGCTTACAAAAGAGCTCTTTTATTGACTTTATAAATTAAGACCCTGGTATTTCAGCTCACTTGGCCTTTTGCCCTCTGCAACAATTATTTCCTTCTGGAACAATTAGTACATGTTTTATGGGTATTTGCATTGAACTGGCTGACTCACAGATATTCCCAAAGGAATTTTTAAGTTAGAATACCACTTAAAAGTAATTACCTTTTGTCACCATTGTTGTCCACATTAATTCAGATTAAGTGATTAAGTTAAACATTACCTAAAATGAAAAGGTGGTCTCTGAATTTAAAAACTCCCAAGGTCAAAAGTAGGAAAAATGTGTTCTTTATCACGTTAGAGAATAAGAAAATATTACAAAATGTGTTACTTATCTGCACCTTTCTCTTAGAAATTCAACCAGACTAAGAGTCTCCCTGGGAAGGTCTCCTCTGCTTGGGGTCCCTTGCCCCCTAGGCAGTCACCCTGCTGAGGCCCTCAGGCAGGGCCTTTTCCCCCACTCCCGCTGGCCAACCTGTCAAAGGCACTTCCCACATGTCAACCCCTCTCCACTCCTCACTATCTCTCCAGTTTCTTTCTCAAAGCACAGCCCGGGGATCTGATCAGGCAGCTGATGAAGGCAAAGCTCGTTAAACCGTTCCTGGGGCTCCCCTGCCTGCCCCCTCCTCACCACAGCCTGAGGACCAGAGTGGGTGGGGAGGCCCGAGAGTTGGCATTTTATCACCCAGCACCCCCCTCCACCCCCCCATGCACAGAGGCACAGAGGGTAAGGACTGCCACACTCCCCCACCCACTTTCCGGTCCTGGTCCTGGGCTCCCTCTGTCACTCAACTTACTTCATCCTCCCTCCGTTCTTTCTCAGTGTCAGGGGGAGCTCCATTCTTTCAATTCCTCAGCACTTCCAACACTTCTTATTTTGGCATTTAATCTAACCTACTTACGCATGTGTCCTGTTTTCCTAACTCAGCAGTAAGCCTTTGAGAATGGGGGCCATTTCTTATGGTTCCATATAGAACCCTACATCCAAAAGATGTTCAGTAAATCTCTTTGATGAAAGTAATGATGATGAAAAATTACAACAAGCTTCCTGCTTTCTCATCAGTGACTGCAGTGCAATGATCTCTATTCAATGAATGAACTCAGTTGTCTGCCTTCCAAATGTTGGTTTTGAATCAAACTGAAATATTTTTAAGACAGAAGAGGGAAAAATGGGCATAACTTTTGCCCATGGTATTTATCAAATATCTATATAGTGCTTAGAATGTGCCGGGCCCTGTTCTAAGCACTTGACATATATCACCTCTTTTAACCCCCTTAATGATCCTATGATGTGGTACTGTATTATTTTACAAATAAGGACACTGAGATGTTCTGACTCCAGACAGCCTAGCTCCAGAATCTGTGGGCTTCACCACCTTACAGCACTGCCTCTTAAAGACCTCAGCCCCTGGTGATGTCGGTTTGGAATCTAAGGAACCAGAATGCTACTCCAAAGAAGAAAACACAAGCATTTGTGACTGAAGTATGTCCTCACCAACTCCCCAACTCGGAATCTCCACCCTAAACCTGCTCGTCCTCTATCCTCCTCGTCTCTCAATTACAACACCATTCGCCTAATCACCCAAGCTGTAAATCGCCAGCCCCTCCCATCGTCACCCCCAACTTCTCATCCATCACTCAGCCCTGGCAGTTCTACCACCAAGTGCCTCTCTGGCCAGTCTCC